ATTATGTTGATCAGAATTCCTAAGTCTTTCAAAGTTGTTTGTCTTTATAATAGTGTTGTCATTGTATAAATTGTTCTCCTGATTCTGCTCACTTCACTCTACATCAGTTCTTACAAGTCTTTTCAGGTTTCTCTGAAAACATCCCCTTCATTTCTCACAGCACAATTGTATTGCATTCCATAACATGTATATACCATAACTTACTCAGTCATTTCCCAATTGGACAGCACCACTTTAGTGTCCAATTCTTTGCCACTGAAAAAAAAGAGTGGCTATAAATATTTTTGCACATCTTTAGTTAGAATTTGTTTTGCTTGGAACTAATCCCTTCCTTAATCCAACATCTCTCTTATTCCTCTCTCTCCCTTCTTTTTCCTTGTACCAAACTGTGTATATAGATATTCTTCCTTCTTTTGACCAGTTCAAATGAGAATGAGATTCAACTGTCAGCTGTTCCTCCCACCCTTTTCTCCTCCTTTGTATAGACCTTTACTTGGGTACCTTGATTAGGTAAAATAATCCTCCCTAACCTTCCTTCCCCTCTCTCTCTCCCCAGTGTATTCCTCTTCCTTTCCCTTTCCCATCTTCTTTTAAGATAATTAAGATGTTACAGAACTACTCTCACTTACTTCTATCTTACTTACCAAACTACCTCTATGACCCCTGAAGATGATGATGATGTTCATCTATTTCAGTCATGTCTGACTCTTCATGACCCCATTTGGGGTTTTCTTGGCAAAGAAGTGTCTTTGTAATTTGCCATTTCCTTCTCCAGCTCATTTTAAAGGTGAAGGAACTGAGGCAAAGAGGATTAAGTGACTGTCCCAGGATCACAAAGCTGGTAAGTATCTGGGGCTATATTTGAACTCAGGTAGTTGAGTCTTCCTGACTTCAGGCATGGCACTCTATCCACTGCACCACCTAGCTGACCCCTGATGATAGTAACCTTCCAAGGGAATGCATGTATCATCTCCCTATATTAGAATATAGTTTATCTGTGTTTAGTCCCTTATGATTGTTCACTTGTTTTTCTTTTTTATGTTTCTCTTAACTCCTGTGTTTGCACTTCATATTTTCTGGTCTGGTCTTTTCATCAGGAATGCTTGAAAGTTTTCTGTTTAATTAAAGGTCCAACCTATATCCTTTGCCTTCTGGAATATCTTATTACAAGCATTCTGCTCTCTTATAGTAGTGGCTCCTCAGCGCTTGAGTTCTTTCTTTCTGATTCTTTACAGTATTTTGTCTTTGATGTGGGAACTCTGGATTATGGCTATAATATTCTTAGGAGTTTTTATTATAGTTTCTTTCAGGAGGTGACCAGTAGGTTCTTTTTTTTTTTCTTTTGGCAAGGCAATTGGGGTTAAGTGACTTGCCCAGAGTCACACAGCTAGTAAGTGTTATGTGTCTGAGGCCAGATTTGAACTCAGGTCCTCTGAGTTCTGGTTCTGTGCACTTCTGGAGGAAATGTCTAGACTAATTCTGTTACTGCTTGATTAGGGTATTGATTAGGGTGTAATTCCAGGGATAGCTCAGGTTGGGGACCTATAAGTTTTCAGTCCTCCTGAAGTGCTCTGATTTAGAGCAAAGTCTGCTTACTGCCCCCACATCTGAGCTTTGCAAATTCCTGACCTGGATTTGGGTCTGAGCAACACACCTGTGGGCACAACACACCTGTGCCTCATTTGAAGTTCTAGTAAACTTGCTGCTGGACTAAGCCACTATAAGCCAGCTGGAAAGTTCTGCTGATTCACAATTACAGAACTGTAAGCTCCAGGGCAGCTAGGTGACGCAGTGGCCAAGGTACTGGCCCTGAAGTCAGGAGGACCTGAGTTCAAATCCAGCCTCAGATCAAACACTTGACCCCAATTGCCTTCAAAAAAGCAAAAGAAACAAAAGAACTGTAGGCTTCCCTTTGGTATGGTATTAAGCAATCAATAAACATTTATTAAGTACTACTATGTGCAAAGCATTGTGCCAAGTTCTGAGGATACAAAAAGAGGCAAAAGATAGTCCCTGCCCTCAAACAGCTTATAATCTAATGGGAGAGATAACCTGCAGACAAATATATACAAAACACACTTATACAGGATAAATAGGAAATAATTAACAGAGGGAAGGCGTTAGGATTAAGAGCAGTTGGGGGGCAGCTAGATGGCACAGTGGATACAGCAGCAGCCCTGGAGTCAGGAGGACCTCAGTTCAAATGTGACATCAGACACTTGACACTTACTAGCTGTGTGACCCTGGGCAAGTCACTTAACCCCAATTGCCTCACCAAAAAAAAAAAAAAAAAAAAAGAATTACAAGTGTTGGAGGGGCCTAAGGAAAACAAGCCCACTAGTGAACTGTTGGTGGAGCCATGAATTTGCCCTACTACAAAGCAATTTGGAATTGTTACTAACCAAATTGTTAGTAACCAAAGTTACTAACCTGTGCATACTTTTTGATCCAGTGTTACCACTACCAGGCCTATATTCCCCAGAGGGATCAAAGAAAGAGGAAAAGGATGTCTTTGAACAAAAATAGAGTAGCTCTTTTTGTGGTAGCTCCAAATTAGAAACTAGGGGCTATCCTCTTGAGGAATGACTAAACAAATTATGGTATATGGATGGAATATCATTGTGCTATAAGAAATGGCAAAATGGACAGTTTCAAAGGAAACTGGGAAGATGTCTATGAATTGATGCAAAGTGAAGTGAGCAGAACTAGGAGCACAATTTACACAATGACAGCAACATTGTAGAGAAAAACAATTTTGAAAGACTTTAAAATTCTGATCAATGCAATGATAAACCAAGACAAACCATATCAAGCACTTCCTACCTGAGAGGCGATGAACTTAAAATGCAGAGGGAAACAGGCATGATCAACATGGGAATTTTTTTGTTGGACTATGATGCATGTTAATGATGAGGGTGTTTTTTGTAGGTTTTCTTTGTTTAGTAGGGAGCAGGATAACGGGATCAACATCATAAAGGCAGGTTCAGATAAATATGAATGCTTGCACAAGTAAATTCATTTTCTTTTTAAAAGATGAAATTTAATAGGATAAATGCAAATACATACTTCGGTCCAAAAAATCAACTTCACAAATACTAGCTCTCCACTACCAAGAGTTCTCCTTGGCCACAGACCAGGCACAATAGGTGGGAGTCGGCACTGGAAGATTTCACTTGGATTTAAGGAAAACCTGATAAGCACAGTTCCCCAAACATGGAATGGACAGCTTTTGAGGTGATAAGGGGTTCCTTCTCACTGGAAGTCTGAATGAACAAAAGTCAAATGACTGCTTGTTGGGGAGGCTGTTCATGGGGTGGTCCTGAAATCCCTTCCAACTTTGGAGATTCTGTGATTCTGTTCCTGTGCTCTGAAAAGTATCACCCAATCACCTTTCTCTCCTTGTTGTTCAATTTTTTTTCAGTTGTGTCTCTTCATGACCCCATTTGGGGTTTTCTCAGCAAAGATACTGGCATGGTTTGCCATTTCCTTCTCCAACTCATTTTGCAGATGTGGAAACTAAGGTAAACAGGGTTAAATGACTTGCCCAGGGTCACACAGATAGTAAGTATCTGAGGTTACATTTGAACTTTGTTCTTCCTGACTCCAGATCTGGTGCCCTCTAGCTGCCTTCTTAGAATCCCTGGTTTCTGTCAATGTTCAGGCAATGAACTGCTTTATATGTATTTTTTCTTGATCTCCTTAGCTACTAATGCTTCCTACTCCTTCCCTCAAAAGGAAAAAAAAACCCTCATATTTATGTATTTTGAACTTACTTACATATGTGCATGTTGTATCTCCCCCAATAGAATGAGGGAAGTGGCGATTTCATGGTAATCTTTGTATCCTCCAGGCAGATCACAGTGTTTGAAGGCACATAGTAGGTGCTTAAATATTTGTCGAGTAATTAATGAATGAGCTGAGGAAAACCACTCTTGTGGCCTGAATTGTCTGGGGTGCGGGGTGGGGATAGAAAAAGGGGAAAGAAAGAGGGAGCAGATGTCAAACCCAGCTGTCTAGTTAGGGTGGCGGTCACAGGAGAAGGGAAATAGCAATTAGTTTTAGCTATTATCTGGATGCAATTACTAAGGCCCAACTAGCCTCAGGGACCGAAAGGTCAGGGGATTCAGTGACTTGAGTTCTTTTAGAAAGCAGCCAAAGCAACTGGGTAAAGGAGAATACTAATAAAGCACTTTAGAACTCTGATTGCTGAGATGCTCAGTGTGATGTCAGAGGGCAGATGGTGGGGCTCACTCTGATTCTATTCCTGCCTCCTGTGTGAGGGGTGGTGGGGTATGTCTGGAATGAGGCATCCTTTGTCGGACTGCCATTATGTTGATTTGTCCTTAACTATACTGTTTTACCAGGATGAGGAAGAGGAGGGTGGGAGTCACCAAAAACACTTTGTAAAAGTAGTGAAAGACAAAAGCTCTGAGGCCAAAGTAGTTCCTATGCCACCACACTCCGTTTCCCTTCTGTCTACCTTTGCCCTGGCTGTTCCCCATACCTAGAATACCATCCCCTCCTCATCTCTACCTCCTGGCTCTCGGCCTCCTTCAAGATGGCTCACATCCCACTTTCTATAAGAAGCATTTCCTAGTGCCTTCCCCTGGTCCTGGCTAGGACTTTCTCCTCTGAGATTACCTGTGATCCACTCTGTATCTACTTTATATGGAACCAATCAATAAAAGACCTATGGGATCAGCTCAACTCTGCAGAGATGGTCCCCCAAGAAGCTGACTCAGGGTCAAACTGAAACGAGAGCTCTTCTGATTTCCCCCATCAAAAGCAGACACAGACTCTCCCAATGTGTGACCACATTCCTCTACCTGTAGTCCCAGTCAAGCAGGGTTAGCACCCAGGGCTCCCACCCCAGCCCCCCTAGGCCCCACCTTCATTTGTTGCTAGGGCCTTGCTGCTTGTCCTCTCTTTGTTGTTAGCAACAATAGACCTCCCCTCCTACAAAGAGGACAGTGGCAGCGGTTCTAGCCTGACCAGCAAACATGGGGGGTCCTAAGTGGGAGCATGATCGTCCTTATGTCCCTCAGGGGACTCTGGAAACTGACTTCCCCACACCTCTCTATAGGTGAGTCTCTAGGATGAAGGATGGGCACCGCACCCCCCTTCACCCCTACCATCTCTGTCCAGCTCAAGGCTGGAGACATCAGAAGTCTCATGGAGCTGGAGTGGGTTTGGATTGGGAAAATGGGGAGCTGTTTGATTCCAGCCTCCCAAACAGCTGATGCCAGAAGGGACCTTAGAACACTGAAGAGCAGAGCAAGGAAAGGACCTTAGAACATAATCTATCAGAACTAAAAATGTACCTTAGAACATAGAAAACAGAATCATAGAACAGAACAGAGACTACTAGAACTGAGAAGGGCCCTTACATGTCACAGAGTCCCATTCGCACTTCCGATTTCTAGTTTCACATGAGGAATGGCTATCAAGCCCTCACCTTCTCACCTTCAGGCTCTTCTCAGCTTGGTCACTTTCCTCCCTTTGCAGTCTTCATAGATTTCCCTCTCATCTGAGCCCTCAAACCACATCTTCTGTCAAGGCTCAGTTCAAATCCCAACTTCTGCACAGCCCTTGCTCCTGGCTCCCCTCTTCTTTGCCACCATGAGTGCTTCCACTTCTTAGATCACTTTTCCTCCACTCAGAATCCATCTCCTGTCTAAACAATCACTAGTGATAAAAAGCTTTGAAAAAGTAAAAACACTGTCCAGGCCTTCAGGGAACTTACATTCTAATGGAGAAGACGACATCTAAATAACTATGCACGTATGGGGAAGGGAAAGGGGATTCAGTACCAGGCCTGGAGTCAGAAAGATTGATCTTCCTGGGTTCAAATCTGGCCACAGACACTTACTGGCTGTGTGACATTGAGCAAGTCACTTCAACCTGTTTGCCTCAGTTTCCTCATCGGTAAAATGAACAGAAGAAGAATGGCAAACCATTCTAGTATCTCTGCTAAGAAAACCCCAAATGGGGCCACAAAGAGTTGGGCAGACTGAAAGGACTCAACAGCAATAAAAGGGGAACAAGCATTTATATAGCACCTACAATGTGTTAACAAGCATTTATATAGTGCCTACAATGTGTTACCAAGCCTTTATTTAGCACCTACAGAGTGCTAATCAATTTAGGAATATCTCATTTGGTCATCAGAACAATCCTGAGAAGTAGGTGCTATTGGTATTCCCATTTTACAGTTGAGGAAACTGAGGCAAATAAGGGTAAAGTGATTTGCCCAGGGTCACATAGCTAGTCTGGGGCTGGATTTTGACTCTGGTCTTCTGACTCCAGGCCCAACATTACCTACAGAGCCACCCAGGTTTCTTGAGTTATTTGCATTGGATATTATCTAACTCCATTAGGCTCTAAGTTCCTTGAGGGCAGGAATTATTTTTGCCTTTCTTTGTATCCCCAGTGCTTATAGCACAGTGCCTGGCACATAGTATGCATTACCAATAAAAGGTGGCTGACTGTTTTACAAGACACAGAAATGTTTAAATGGAAATTTCTCCCAGTCTTTTGGAGCAATAGAATAACCAACCCCCTGCAGAGGGTTTCTAATCATCATTATTGGCATTGTCATTATTGTGATTACCTTTATAGTTCTTTATGATTATGAAGCCTTTTTAGCTCCTGTGATCCTCAGAATAACTACCCTGTGGAGTAAGGAATTCAAGAATTATTCTCTTTCTCCAGGTAGCAACAATCTCACATTACGTACTGCTTTAACGTTTACCAAAGATGAAGAAATGGAGGTGGAGGGCAAGGCAGTGGGGTTTGGTGAAGGGTACACAAAGATTCAGGAAGAAAACTGGGGGCAGAACCCAGGACTCCAATCGCCCAGTGGGTTCTCAATGGTCCTGGCAGTCACCAGCTGCTGCAATGTCACCCCCAACTAGAGGGAGTTCTCTTTGTCCCTCTTCCTCTCTCCTGGCCCAGTGGGTTTCTTAGAATTGCCAAGAGGAATTAGACTGTCCCCTCTGCCTTCTAAATAGGAGAGTTGGCACCTTAATACCTGATGTGGTTATACAAACACACAAAGCCACGTCTCCTCCACCCCAGTCCCCTAATGAATCAACAGGGATCCTGGCCCCAGATTTTTTTCAGAGCCTTCCCATCCCTTCATAGCTAACCTGACTTCGGAAAAAACTTGCAAACCCAATGTCCCTCTCCTCTCCCCTTTCCCTGCTCTCCTAACCCAAAAGCAGGTATTCTTAACTTGGAGTCCACGAACTTAAAAAACAAAAATTTTTTTAACAACTATCTTTCAATATAATCTGTTTCCTTTGTATTTTATGCATTTAAAAACATTATTCTGAGTTCATAGACCACCTCCTTCGCCTCCCACTAAAGCCCCCTGAAGCCTCAATATACCCCTGGAAAAAGCTGAGGGCTCCCTGTACTCCCAGCCCAGCCCTACTGACCCTTCTCTCCTTCCTCGTAGTGATGAGTACTTAACTCTTCCGGGCCCTAGATGGGCACCCATCATCAGGCAGGGTGTGCGATGGAAGTTCACTCCTATGGGACATGATGCCATAGGACAGTGGTGGTACACAGGCTTGAGAAACAACAACCCAAATGTCTGGTACAACATAACCAATCCTATCAGCCGCCCAGCCTACACCCGATGGCACCGAGCCTATTCCCAGAGGGAGCAGACCTTTGCCCCTGGTAAGTCCAGGGCCCTCTCTCCACTTGGACATTCTGAGCTGAGCTGGGTAGGCAGCTAGCTTCCACTCCTATTTTACTGAGGCCCAAAGAATGAGTGAGACTCACTCAAGACCACATCATGAAGTTAGGGACTGAGTTGAGACTAGTATCCAAGTCTCTTGATTCTTAGTTCCAAAAGTCTTTCCATTACCCCTAATGCTGTGTCTGCAGGGGGAATTTGTGTGAGGGTCCATAGTGGCAGGAACCACCCTCGTTTTCTCTCTGGGGACAGAGGGCAAAGTGGGAGGTCATCCTTCGGACAAGAAAGGAAAAAAGACTGGGGAAGAAAGGGGTTTCACTCAGAACCTGACATCTTCCTCCCTGATAGCCTATACCCAGCACCTTCGAGAAAGCTCCTGGTATGATCCCATACTCCCTGCCCAGTACATGGAGCCCAGTACCCGCTGGGGGAACCTTCTATGGCAGGACAAGCTCCTCCCAGGGAAGGAGTTTGGTGAGTAGGAGCTGAACAGGGGTGGGAGGGTGTGAGGATGGACAGGATGTAGGGGACAGCAGGGGGCAAGGTTGCATCTAGGTTCAGAGGGCCGAAGGTAGGAGGGCTGGCTAGAGGGAAAAGAGAGGGGCTAACACAGACGGAGAGGGTCATTGCTGATCTTTGCCCTACTTCCCATCTGATAAGGCCAAACCCTGTCCTGGTCCAGGTTCAGGTGAATCTGTCTCCAAGGCCCCTCTCAGAAAGAGGGAAGTTGCTCAGACCATGCAATGACATTGCCTCTCCCCACTCCCACCTTTCCCCAGTTGTAAACCGGAATCGCTTTGGGACTCCACCTGGCAAAGGCTCCAACTATGTCCCCTTCCTCTCGGTGCCCAATCGGCCACGTTACACTACCCAGAACTTCCGACTATGGAATCTAGAGCCCTACTGCCCATCTACCAACCAGCGGCCGCCACCTGTCCATAGACCCAAACACTAATAAAAGTGTCACACTATGGATGACCACTTCTCCTAGGGCCTTTGAGAGGAATTAGCGCCAGCCCTCCCACTCACCCTTCCCCCCATTCTCTCGAGGACAGGTTCTTCGAGGGCACAGTCCATCCAACTGGTGGGATGGGACTAAGGGGAAAGGTGGGGCAGCCTAAGGCATAGACTCATATACAGCCCCATTTGGACCCCTTTAGCTACACAGTCCCAAATGGCCAAACGCATGCCTAATTTACAACTGCTGACATTTTATGGTTCTTCAAGGTTTGCAAAGTGCATTCCATATCCGTTTGATCCTTATAACCGTGTGAGGTAGGTAGTACGGTGTTATCTCCATTTTGCAGATAGAGAGGCACAGGTTATATGGGCAGGAAGGGAACAGTAGGAATGAGGTGGTAGGGGACAGTAAGAATACCAGGACGCATCTGGGATGGGAGAGGGGCTGGTCACATGGCAGTGTCAGGTGAGGTCTGTGCCTTGGTAGAGAGAGTAGCCTGGCCTAGCATTCTTTTCAGTAACTCCAGGCTGCACATTGCCTTGGCATGTATATCTGCCATTACATGGACACCTGCATCCACACAGGATGAAGAAACCAAGTGCTTTAGCTAATCTCATTTGCCATGGGCATCCATGTACGTTAGGGGCTCTTAAACTGGGATAGATGTCAAGGCCTCAACTTGGGTAGGGAAAAAATGCATCTTAAATTTAACTTATCTAACTGAAATTTAGCATTTCCTTCATAGAAATGTAGGAAACAAACAAAGGATCCCTAGACTTTGCCAGACTGTCAAAGGGGTCCATGATACAAAAATGGTTAAAAAACCAAACAACTCTGATCTACATATATAAATACATATGCCACACAAACACACATACCTCTACATCTGTGTGCACGCATATAATGGTCCTAGGTAACTTTCTGACAGGCCAAAGTAATAGGCTAAACCTGAGAGAACAAAATTGATTAGGGATAAAAGTGAAGTCTGACGCTTGGGTTCATATGATCAGTTGCCCAAGCATAGGATGGGGGCAGATGTAACCAGACAACATTGCTTGGTTAAAAGATCTCGGTGTGGGTCCGGCCCAAAGTCATCTTGGGTTATATTGAACGTCTGGGGAGGGGAGAGAGCATACTCCCTCTGTGCTCTCCCCGCGTCAGACCACAGTTGTAGTGTGAGTCCCATGCTCAGTCCTGCAGGTCAGATCTAGGAGGAAAACTGACAAGCAGGACTGGATTGTGGACAGAGAAGGGTGACCAGGGTGGGGAGAGTGAAGAAAACCATACCATACACGTGGTAAAGAAAGTGTTGGGGGGAAGGGGAATAGGAAAGCTTTCTTAAAATTGTTCAAGGGGTGTCATGGAGTAGAGGGATAAAACTTGTTGTATTTGGCACCAGGGGGCAGACACAGGAAAAATTGGAGGGGGGGGCTGGAAGGGGAGACCAGGAAGGGGAGGAGAGAAAAGCTTACAGGAAGGTAGTGAGTTCCCCAAGACTGGAGGCATTCAGGAGGGCCTAAGGTATTAATCACAGCATGGCAAACATAGCACATGCATCGGTCACAAATCCTCTCCAAAAGCCCCATGAGGGAATTAGATGGGGATCATGCCCCTTTTGCAGATGGAAAAAATGAAGCCCAGAAAGAAGTTATTTTTTAAGGTCAGAGTGAGTCAAGGTGAAGAGCCGAGTGGTTCCCCTTCCCTCTCCCTCTGACAGACCCAAGTCTTCAGTGGGGGATGGAGATCTCCTTAGTACCTGCAATGTCACCTGCCCTAACATAGCTGTGCTCCAGACGTGGAAGAGTGACAAAGGACAAGACACCTTGTTCCTCCTTCCCTTCTGGGCCCCTCCATCCTGAAGCCAATAATCCCCACAAGCTCAGAGGGAAGGATGAGATGAGAGAAGAAGATACTGGGATCCAGGAGGTTCGAATTTCCATCACCCTTTCCTAGTCACCTTTCGGTCCCTCCAAGAGTGCACACCGGGTCCAAGTGCAGAATTCCCACACTCACAGTGGGACTTTTATTCATTAGTCCAATATTCTTTGTAAACAGCTCCCAGCCCAGAGATCCCTGGTCAGAGAAATGGACCAGAGAGACAAACGAGGATTCCCCAGACCAGCTGGGGGTGGTCCATTGCAGGAGACCCTTGGATGTGAGTCCCAGTACCCAGGGAAGGGGGAGGAGGAGAGTCTGTGTGCACAGACACCTGAGGTATCCTGAGTGTTCAGTTGACTGTAATGTCCTGCGAGGCCCCTGAGTTTGGTCCAGCGGCACCTTCAGCTGGGCCAGCCACCGCTGTATCATCTAGGGATAGGAGGAGAGTCAGAAGGGGAACAGAGAGATTAGCTCAGAACTCTGGGCCACTTCCCCTGCCCTCTGAACCCCTAATCCCTGAGGTCTCCTTGGCTCACCCTATAAGGTCACCGGGGAAGGTCCTGGAGATCCTGGAGACTGGAGAGAATGGGAGTGGGCCCTCCCTCAATCCTCAGCCAACAAACCCCACCCCTCAGGAATGTCGGGGTGGAGGGAAAATCCCATTGCAAAGGAATCACCCTCTCTCCACCCCTCTCAAACCTAGTTCCTAAGCATTCTGGTAGAGGGACATGGAAAAGGGCCACGAGGAGGATAAAGTTTAACATGGCCTCACTTTCACCCACAAATGGGGTCCACATCAGGATTCTCATCCTCCAAGGAGGCCTCTGGGGAAAAGAATTGGGGTGGGGTGGGGGGAGAATAGGCAAAGGATATAGGGAAAAGCTCTATTTTGAGGCTTGTAGACAAGGTTTCAGGTTCAAATTTACATAGATTTGCATATATTTTATGGGCTTGGGAAGGCATAGCCAGTTCCATCCTCCCGTGGAGCCTGGGCATGGAGCCCTGCCCCACTCTCCCTGCTAGCCTGATTTAAGGCTGATCTTCATCATCTTCTGAAAGAGAAGGGGAGGAAGGAAGATAGCTACTTCAGCAGAAGGGAAAGGCCTCCCCCCAGCTCCATTCCCTACCCCCTACCCCCTTACCCTATCTGGGGCAAAATGACCCTGCCTTTGATCCAGAGGAGAAGAGACGGGGTAAGGAATAGGAGGGGCTAGGAGCAACTCACAGAATCGAACTTGGATGGGCCAGAGAAAGATGCTACAGAGACAGAGGGCAGCGGCCACGCCCACGCCTCCCGTCACGGCCACCATCACCCAATGGTAGAAGCCCATGCAGGCTGCACAGCACAGTTCTGAGCTAGAGAGATGCCAGCCTGTGAGTTTCCCCTGTCCACCAACCTTCCTGCCCCAGACAAAGAGCTGAGACAGACCGGGGGCCCCAAACCCAGAGGTACCATCACCATTATACAGCCACCCACACTCCAACCCGACATAGCACCCCTTCTCCACTCAGGTACACCACCATCCCCCAGGCCCAGAAATGCCCCCTCCCTTAGACAACAAGATAGCCTCCTCAGACTCACAAGCAAGGGTATAGGCTCTGGATGGCCATCACAGCCAGCCCGTTGGCTACCTTGTCGGTGAAGCTCATGGCTCCATACACAAAGGCCCCGCTGTTCTGGAAGGGAGAAGAGGTCCGTCAGCATATCCCCTTGTACTGGACACTGCCGGGTGGGCAGGCAGAGGAGACCCCCGCAAGCTCTTCCCAGCCCAGCCCAGGCCTTACCGTGTGGCTGCCAATGAGGTCAGCTGTCATGGACAGGGACATAACCAGGATGGTGGCTGAGCCAATACCCAGGAGAACTGCTGCTCCATACACAGCTATCCCTAGCGAGTTGCCCAGCGCCACCCATGAGGCGAAAGCCAGGATGATCAAGAGGCCTGCAAAGTATGTCAGCTGGTAGAGGACAAGAGTGGGGAAGAGAGAAAAGAATATGTGACAGACAAACGCACATGCTAAAATATATGTTTATATATGTACACAGTATGTATGTATACACACACATACAGACACGCATGTGTATATGTATATACACATACACACACCACATGGTGGTAGGGTTTGTCTTCTACAGGCCGTCCCTTCTTTTCTTTTCTGTAGCTCCCCCAAATATTAGCCACCTCTTCCAGGGAGCCTTTGTTTCCATGATGAGGAAGGCAATAGGGGCACCCAGAAGAGCCTTGGAGATTAGACTTGATCTACTTGGCCCCAGGAGCACAATTAGGAGCAGTGGCTAGAAAGTTGCAATAAGGCCAACTGAGGCTGGAAGCCAGAAAAAACTTCCTATGGATGATGAGAGCTGGCCCAAAGTGTAATAGGCTGCTTCCCGAGGTGGCAGGTTCCCCCTTCCTGGGAGATCCTCAAGGACAGGCTAGCCGACCGCTTCGTAGGAATGTCCTTCTTAGCTGGGATTCTCTGTCAGCTATGGGCTGGGTTAGAGGAGGCTGGGATTCTCGGACCTTCGGCATTTCTAATCCTGAAGCTGCTTACCGTGTGAACCTGGAACGATTCCCTTACCTTCTCTGGGCCTCTGGCTGGCTAGTAAGTCTAAGGGAGGACCCATCTCTAACACTGTAAGGTCTAAGGACTCCCCATCGACCCCATCATCTCACTCACATTTCGACCAATGCGCTTGTTCACTGGCTTCATGAAGAAAGAGGAGAAGAAGCCGCTGACGTACATCACAAGGGGGATGGTTGCGATGAACTTCTGTTGAGGGGATTAATGGGGTATGGCGGATTACAGGGTTCTCCTGTTTGCTCATTGCTGTCCACCCCGCCAAGCTCCCACTCCCCACCTCCATACCCCAATCTCCTCGACAGCCCTAAGTCTCGTCAGCCTGCGACCTTGGAAAAATTACTTTCTTCCTCTTCCCCTCCCCCTTCCTGGGCCTCAATTTCCTCATCTGTAAAATGAGGACACTGGACTCTATGAGATTCTTCCCAGCCATACTAGGCTCTGTCTAAGGTCTCCTTCCCAGCCCTGACATTCCACATTTCTCTAAGACTCCTTCCCATTCTGGACAGTTCGATTCCCTGCCTCTCCTGGGCCTCACCTTGGGCAGGTTCAGGGAGTAGGTCAGATACATAGCCATATACGTCTGTGACAGATTCACAATGAGCCGTGTGCTCATATACAGAATGCCCACCTGAGGAATGGACAGATGGGTCAGAGGAATGGACACTCAAGGCCCTACAATGTGTGGGGGGGAGGGGGGGAGGGCAGCACAGAGGGGAGGTAGAAGGGATGCTACGGCAGATGAAGGCAGAGCAGGCTTTGGACGTGAGGTCTGGCAGGGTGGGCGGTGACCCAGGACTTCGCTACAGGAGTGCCATGAGCTCGAGGCAAAGTGGCGGGGGAGGGAGGTATGAGGAGGCTCCCTGGCGGTTTTGTCTGTGGTGTTTGAGAAGGCCCAGGCCGCTCATACCTGGTAAAAGGACGGCTCCCGAAGCCAGTGCTTCCAGAGGACCATGGGCTGGGTGGCGGGTGGGAGCAGAGGGCTGTGCTCGCTGGGCTCCTCAAGCCCATGCCGCCGCCGAGGTCGTTCCTTGGTGCCCAGGTGGAAGAGCAGGGAGAAGACGGCACCAACACAGACGACCATCAGGGAAAGGTTCTGGGGCACCGGGAAGGAGGGTTAATGTTGCCTCACCCTGCAGGCCAGGCTTTCATCCTGGCTCATTCCTCTCCACCCCAGCCCCTTGCAGCCTAGCTGAGAGCTCCTCAAGGGCATACCTAGAGCTGCCCATTCTCCTTGCCTTGCCCGGCCCTGCTGCCCTCCTGTTCCTCAACTAGTGAAGCCTGGGCCAGGGCTGGACACAGTGGAGCCTCCTGGACTTCCCAGCCTTTAAGCACTAATGCCCTTCGGCCTGCCTCCCCCTTCTGCAGACCTTCATCCCTCACCTGGCCGTCCTTATCTAGCTCCAGCTGGTGGAGGGCCCAGATGTGGTCACCAGAGCCAGCAGACCTTCCCCACCTGTCAGTCCCTGGGAGAATTTCTTCCTTCATCAGCAGGTGGCACCCACCTGTGGCCCCTGGGCTGACCCTCTGACTTCCTCTCCTGCTGCTGCGCCCCATTCCTCAGGCCAGGATGCTCCTGGATTTAGCTCTCCATCCCTCTCCCAGCCTCCTCTCCCCCCCACCCTTTCTAGCCTCTGTCCATTCTGATTCCTAGACTTTGTTCCACTCCTTCATCCTCCCTCCCCCTAATTCCCTGCCTCCCTTCCCAGTCTTCCTCCAAATCTCTCCTAGCCCTCTCCTTCTTCTCCTTTACACCTCCTCACACCCACTTCCTCAATCCTTCCCCTTAATCCTAGCTCTCTTTCCCCCAGTCCCTGCAGGACCCCTGCTCACCCTGAACACTGGCACATCCTGTAGGCCTAGCTGGTCACTGGTGTCTGAATCAGGGGCCTCAGAATGGGACCCCTGGAAATGGAGAAGCAGCCAGGCAGCCCCATACACAGCAATGTTGGCTGCTACAGTGAAAGCATACCTGGAATGATGATAGGGAGGAAAAGACACAGGCATCAGCAAAGGTTGGGGTGGGAGGGAGACTCCTGGGCAAGGCCCTCTCATTTCCCTCTTTTCCACACCCAAACACTGAGGCCTAAGTGCCACTGACAAATCTATCTGGCTATCCCTTTCCCTTCGCCCTAAACCACAGGGAACAGCTCCCCCAAGGCCCATCCAGGCCCAGGTCTTAATAGCCCCCTCTAATTAAGGGTGAAAGCTGAGAAAGAGGCAGCTAACTGTCCCTCAGGGCCCTGCCTGTTCCTTTATTTGGGGGCCCCCCGCAGCATACCCAGCGTTATGTAATACTGACCGTTGCCCAACTCACCAACCCCCTGTTCCCTGGCACAGGCAACAGCCTTAAGTAGGGAGACGAGGCAGTCGGTGAGAAGAAACCTAATACCAAGAGAGGGCTTCAGATGGAACCCCAGAGAAACACCCCACAACTGGGTAGATATGGGGAAAGGAAGTGAGTGGGCTGTGGGCTGGAGCCAAAGCCAAAAGTTTATACTCCTAGAATATCAGAGGGAGAAAGAGCCTTAGGCCACAATGCACATTAGTGCTAGAAAGGAGGGATCTGGAGATCACCCAATCATCCAAGGATTTTTAATCTGGAGACTGTGAACTTTTTAAAAATTTCGATATCTTTATTTCAATATAATTGGTTTCCTTTGCAATTCTATGCATTTTATATGTTTGATTGTAAAAGGGTTCCATGACATTAGATTGTGAGATCCTTCAGGACAGGAACCATGCTTTTGCACTTGGCACAGTGCCTGGCACACAGTAGGCATTTAATAAATGCTTGTTGACTGACTGACTGAGAAAAGGTTAAGAATCTTTCATCGAATTGAACTTTCATTTTAAAGCTGAAGAAACAGGCCCCAGGAGGTGATAGAGGCAGAGCCAGAACTAGATGTTGGCTTTCCTCTTTCTATTGATGCCACGTATTTTTTATATCAATATTTTAACATTCCCTAGCTTGGGGTTTGTTTTGATCTAGTTTTCCTAGAGGTACTTGAAATCCCAAACAGCAGAGAGAACGTCTTCTGCATTTTTGTATCGCCCAACAGTGCCTGGCAAGATACCCACCTTACACAGTGCTGGAATGTGCCATTTATTTTTACATTTTACCTCCTTACTGGCAGTGGAAAAGGGCAGCAAACAAAGGTGGGGTGAAGGAGTAAGGGGGGTGCTCTAGAGAACCTGGTGCTACCTCTAACCCATCTGGTGCCCCTCAAGTGCCCAGAATTACCTGAAGGCGGTGAGCTCTACCTTCTCGTGGTCATTGGTGACCAGCTCAGGGATTAGGGACAGGTGGGAGATCTGTGTGGCTGCCCAGCCAAACTGGAAGATCACAATGAACGGTGCATAGTAGATGAGGGCAGCCCACTCTGCCGTGGAGGCTGTGCACCCCAGGCAGGGATTAAAGATGAAAGGGAAAGAGAGCAGGACACAAATGGTGCCTATTCGGGGGAAAGAGAAGGCAGCATGGGTCTCAGATTAGACAATCAGAACTGGAGGGACCTTAGAAATGACTCCCTCCTCCCCCACCCCCAGAAGGACAAATCTACCCCAGGGCTGACAGCAAGGCTGGAGCAGGACCCTAGTAGGTGCCTCTGCCCTCATTCTGATACAGAGGAATTAAACTAATGGGACTGATAGAATTGACAGAGTCAAAGCCAACAAATTTCCCCCCCCCTTTTTTTTTAACCCTGGAAAGTCCCTCGTAACCATGCTGGACATCTCCAGACATTGTCACTGGAACCTCAAACTCAACAGGTCCTGAACCTTCCTCCTCTCCCAAATCTACCCCTCTCAGGCCAATTCCCCTATTTCCATTAAAAATCAGGGATTACTCCTCTTCCTTCACCCCACCCTTGAGCCAGGAGTCACCAAGTCCAGGAGAGTCAACCTACATGTCATCTTTCCCAGCAGCACCCCTTCTCCATTCACACGGAAACTATACCCCGGTTCATTCAGGCTTTCTTCACCTTTCCCCCATAGACCTCCCTGATTGGTATCTTTGCTGGCCTCCAGCCTTTCTCCCTTTCTCCAGAAGAAAAGAGGCATGGCAGTCCTCTGGACTGGAAAGAACTCTGGCTTTGGAATCAGAAGACACTGGCTTGAATCCTTGCTCTGACCTGAGCAAGTGACTCAGCCTTTCCGAGCCTCAGTTTCCTCATCTGCAGAATGAGGAGGTTGGACCTGGTGATCTCTGAGCTCCCTGGAATTGTCCTATGGTTCTTCCTTTATATGACTGCCAAAATAACCTCCTGGGATTGGATCTGTCCATGTCATTCCCTCCCCCTTGCTCAAACACCTTCAGTGGTTCCCTACTGATGAGGATGGGAGGTAGACCCCAAAAAGGAAAAACCCTGGACTTTCCCACATGGCCAAATCTCTGGAGTTTGCCTGAGGCTATAATCCCATCAACTGGCCTTTCATTGTGGCTACACCCAATTTCCCAATTCTGTTACCCTCAACCTAGCCTAGCCCTCCATTGTCTTACCTTCCTATGGCCCCAGGCAGCTTCCCACCCTTAATCCTATCTAGGCTCCATTCTCCCTTGGCCACATGGTCCAGGTCCCTGGAGTTCTATTACCTCACAGACTACTTGGCCACTCCTAGATCCCTCCCACAGTCTTTACATATATAAGGTCCATCTTGTCTCCACTAAAATGCTCAGATTCTTATAATCTAGCTGATGGAGTTGGGATCTGGGCCCCAGAAAGGCAAACAGCAGGTACCAGCCAATGTCCCCCCATTGTTCCCTGTGCTTGGTTCCAGTCAACCTCCTCTTTGGGACCCCCTTGAGGCAGGGACAGCTCTACGCCCCTTGCCAGTAGTTAACAGTTTCAGAAGCTGAGACCTTCGTCCCTTACTCCAAAAGAATTTGAGTCTCATTTGTTTGAGGGGGGAATGATGGGGTTGGGATCTGGGCATCCAGGAAAACCCTGGACTTTACCATGTGGCCAAATCTCTGGTTTTCGCCTAAGGCTATAATCCCATCAGCTGGCCTTTCATTGGCTACACCCAATCTCCCCTCCATTGTCTTACCTTCCTATGGCCCCTGGCCATTTCTCCTCTCATCCAGATCTCCTTAGGTCCCTCCTCCCATCATCCCAAACTACTTGGCCACTCCTAGATCCCTCCCACAGGCTTTCTGTATATAAGGTCCATCCTGTCTGTCTCCATTAAGAGGCTGGGATTCTTATAATCTAGCCATTGCTTAGAGTCTTATAATCTAGCCAGTAGTTTACTAATGTTCAGACTCCTTAAGAGTCTGCCCAATATGACAGATGTTCTAATAAACCTTGTCTTTGGCTGAAAGAAGGTTTGGGTCAAATTCTTTCAGGCAGGACCCGCATATTGTGATTTTGGGGTCCCACCACCCCTTAACTCCTAAACCTCAACACCTACTACCTCTAGGATAGACAAAAGACAAACTCCTTAGCCTGGCATGGAAGGCCCTCTACAATCTGGATTCAGTTTATCTTTCCCACCTTACTTACTTCAAATGACACATTTGACTGAGGCCAAACTGCCCAACTAGTCATTCTTTGAGACTGACCTGATATCTCGCCTCCTGGCAGCTGGGAGCCACAGTGGACAAAGTCAGGAAGACTCAAGGTCAAATCTGACCTCAGACACTGGCTGTGTGACCCTGAGCAAGTCGTTTAACTTGTCTGTCTCAGTTTCTTCAACTACAAAATGGGGATAACACTAATAACTATTTTGATGTTATTGATAACTATTTTGAAGATCAAATGAGATATTTGTAAAGCACTTAGAACAGTGTGTGGCACATAGTAGGCACCCAATAGAAGCTTGTTTTCTTCCTTCTGGGCATTCATGCCATCCCCCTATGCCTGGAATACTCTTCTACCTCATCTTTGCCTTTCAAAGTCTTTGCTTTGAGCTTTAGCTCAGTGGCTACCTTCCCTGTGAAGCTTTCTCTGATTCCCCAGCTAAAAGGGGTCTCTCAGAACACTTGGTCTATGTCTCTTCCTTCTGATGCAGTTTAGGGGTTCAGGGACCCCAATATCACAACACGTGGGTCCTGCCCAAAAGAATTCGACCTAAGCCTTCTTTCAGCCAAAGACAAGGTTTATTAGAACATCCATCATATTGGACAGACTCTTAAGGAGTCTGAACATTAGTAAACTATTGGCTAGATTGTAAGAATCTGACCAGTGGCTAGATTTTAAGAATCTAAGCAGTGGCTAGATTATAAGAATCTGAGCATCTTAATGGAGACAAGATGGACTTTATATACAAGATGGACTGTGGGAGGGATCTAGGAGTGGCCAAGTAGTTTGGGGTGACTGGAGGAGGGGTCTAAGGAGATCTGGATGGAAGTGGCCAGTAAACGGGGTGAACAGAACTCCTGGGGCCTGGACAATGAAGCCTACCTAGGATTAAGTGTAGGAAATGGCCAGGGGCCATAGGGAGGTAAGACGATGGAGAAGAGACTGGGTGTAGCCACAATGAAAGGCCAATTGATGGGATTATAGCCTTAGGCGAAAACCAGAGATTTGGCCACATGGTAAAGTCCAGTGTTTTTCCTTTCTGGGGTCTAGCTCCCATCCTCATCATTTCCCATTCCCTCATTCCCTCCTTTGCTATGGTCCTTACTTGTGCACTGCTCCCAGCCCCCCATAGAAGGGAAGGGAAGCACCTTTTAAAATTTACTTTGTACACAATACACTTAATGTTTGCTGAACTGCACTGAACTGGAACTAGAACAAGTCTTATGATTTTCCAGGCCAGGTTCTTTCACTCCAGCTTGACAGGGCCTAATGTTAAAATCCTGGGCCCAGCTCCGACCCACTCTAACCTCAGATCCCACTGGGAGAATTAGGTTTTGGATAAGAGATTTTGTAAAGCATAAATGATTAGAAAAATGGGAGGTAATGCTAAATGACAATCCCAGGAATAATGAACCAGACCGGACCAACAGATGGATTTCAGTGATCCAGTGTCAGAGCTGGGAGGGCCCTTAGGACACAGAAGGTCAGAATTGGGAGGGTCTTTAGAGATTATCTAATCTAACAACCTTATTTTATAGGCAGGCCAAATGAGGTCCACAGATGAATGAAGTCACACATCAACTCAGTGGTAAAACCAAAACTAGAACCCAGATCTCCTTACTTCTAGCTCAGAATTCTGTCCACAGCACCACAGCTGACTCTCACTTTGGTTGGCATGGGACCCAGTTGGCCCTGAGGGAAGGGGAGGCAAAGAGAGGAAGAGAGAGACTGAGGAAGAGGAGGGGGGAGGGAGAAAGAGAGAGAGAGAGAGATGGAGGGGTGACTAGGTGATAAGGAAACCCCAAACCCTTTCACCCTCCAGGCTAGGGCTTCCTGGGTTTCTAAATCCAGATCAGTCAATGACTCTTGTGTGACTATGGCCCACTCCTCGTCTACAAAATGGGTGTGTGGGGAGGAAGTCCCTAAGGTCCTTTCCAACCCTGACATTCAATGATTCAAGCCCCTACCTCTGGGGAAAGTGATTCCTTTCCCTCCTTAAAGGGAGAGTCCACCACCCAGCTGGCGCAGGAACAGGTCCTGTGCCAGAGCTTCAGGGCAGCCAGGTACCTATCAGGCTGCTCTACTCTGTGATATAATCTGTCTCATCTCCAAGTGACCTTCCTTCCTTCCCCTTCCTAACTTCAGATTTGGGAAGTGAAAAGAAAACTAACTGTCTTGGGTTTCTCTGGAATTCACTGGAGTCAAAGGACCCAAGAATGGAAGGAGCTCAAGATTTTCTGATCCGCTTCCTTAGGGGCAAGCCACTTTCCTTCTGTGGCTGAGTTTCTGTAAAACAAGGCAGTTGTACTTTCAAGGTCTCTTCCAGCTCTAAATGAAATTCTATGATCCCTTTCTGCCTTAACACGTCCTCAAGGGCCTTCTGTGCCAGAATTCATGAAGCCCCAGCCGTTGGACTGTAAACAGATGGACCCCTGCAGAATTGCCAGCTCTGCTCCTTCCCTCTCTCCCCCTGCCAGGGTTAATGATTCCCAGGGAGGTTGGGGTGAGGAGAAGTTTTCCCAAGGAAAAAGAAGCAATTGAGGTTAAGGGACCCTGGGTAGGCAGCCTCCAGGGACACTCAGTGTTCACCTCCTGTAGGGACTCCTATATTCCCTATCGGGAAGAGGCTTCAAAGAGAAGGGCTTCTCCCCTCCAAGGGCTCAGTAAGGGGAAGGAGACAGACACACCAGGGCCTGGATTTCATGCCCTTGGCAAAGGCACCTTCAAGGGGCAGAAGACTTGCTCTTTGTCCCCTATACACAACAGCTAGGACAGCTCAGTGTGGGGCTTCCGAACACAGCTTTACGGTACAGGATGGGAGAGGGGCAGAGAGACAGAGAGGGGAGAGAGAGGAAGGGAGGGTGAGAGAGAGACAGAAACAGGAGAGAGAACAAGAGAGACAGACAGAGATAGAGATAAACAGGGAGGAGCGAAGGAGGAGAGACAGAGAGAGGGAGGAGAGAGACAGAAACAAAGAGGAGAAACAGAGACAGAAGAGAGGGAGGAAAGAGGGCAAGACAGAAACAGAGAAACAGAGAGAAGAAAGTGAGAGAAAGAGACAAAAAGGAGACAGGGAAGAGGAGAGAGACAGGAGAGCAGGAGGAAAGAGAGGGAGAGAGAAAGGGAGAGAGAGAGGGAGGGAGGAAAGAGGGAAGGAAGAGAGAAGCGAAGAGAGAAGGGGAGGGGCAAGGAGAAGAGAGAGAGAGAGAGAACAAGAGAGAGGAGAGAGAGTGAGTGTTGTGGGGAGGAATTAGTCACTTTTCCTGGGAAATACCTCAGGTTTCAACAAGCACCCAGAGCCAAGGAATCAGGGAAGAGTGTGGCCACGAGATGGCCTTGGCCAAGGACATCGCTACCTGAGTGTCCCCCACCAGTACTTCAAACTCAGTGTGACTGAAAGCAAGCTCATCATCTTTTCCCCTAGAGCTGTAAGTCCTCCTGACCTCCCTCCTCAGGTCTCTGGCAGATCTTTCATGTTTGCCCCCTTGGCATGGTCTTCAATGCTCTCTCTCTAGTCTGGGCCTTTCTTACTGGAGCACTGTGATATCAGGGGAAAATGAGAGCTGGATTTGAAGTCAACAGACCTGGGTTCCCAGCCTGGCTTTGCTCTTCACTACCTCTTTAGTAAATTGAGGGTTTCTTTTTTTTTTTTTTAGGCAATTGGGGTTAAGTGACTTGCCCAGGGTCACACAGCTAGTAAGTGTCAAGTGTTTGGTCTGAGGCCAGATTTGAATTCAGGTCCTCCTGACTTCAGGGCCGGTGCTTTATCCACTGTGCCGCCTGGCTGCCCCTGGATTAGATTTCCAAGCCTCTTCTCAGCTCTAAATTCTAGATCCTGTCCCTGTCAAATTCCCCAACATCCAGCCCCAAATCCTATCTGTTTCCCACTTCGGGTTATTAGTGAGACAAGGGTAAAGAGTGTTCTGTAAACCTTAAGGAGTTGTTTAAATATGGGGAGAACTGGGTTATAAGAAAACTCTAACCCTTTTAATAAAGTTTGTTAAAATTTAATAAAGTGCTGTTATCATTATTCCCACTGCGGTCAATCTTATCAGCTCCCTTATTACTACCCTGCCTGTGGCAATAATATTTTAAAAGATCTTTCTTTCAGTGGTTCCCCATTGCATCTAGAATAAAGTTGGTCCTGTGCCTAGCATTCAAGACCCTTCACTCTCCATAGTTCTCTCAAATTACTTCCCTTGACACCTTCTGTGCTGCAACAAATCTCTGGGTATCGCCATCCGCACCTCTACCCAGCCAACTTAAATGCCTGGTCTTGGAAGCGGAATATCCTCCTTCCCATACTTAGCTAGATAATGTATCATGTTACTTGAGGCAATTCAGTTAGGAGAGGAGAGAGAAAGCAGTAACTTGACTGGTGGAGGCAGGATTTTAAGGAGTTCCTCTGGATTGTAGCAGCTAAGGAGGAAACCTGGCATAGCTTCCTGTAACTTATCTGGCCAACTAGGTGCAAAATGCAGTTGTTTCCACACAATAAACGTAATTCCAGCACTGTCAGGGCCTCCTAAATTTCATTATCCTGGGAACAAAGCTATAATGGGTACTTACCAATCACACCTCAGTTCCTTTGCCTTTTTTGGTGGTATTCCTTCCCATTTTTAAAGCTCCCCTGACTTCCCACAGTCCCTTCTGGACTTCAAACAGCACCTTGTTCTTCCCCTCTTTAATATACTTAACCATAATGCATCATTTTATATGACATTTGTGTTGGGGTCTTTTGTGGATTCCTAGACAGCTAAAACTCAATTAGGCATGGTTCCAGCACCTAGTACAGAGTTCAGCACATAAATGTTTGTCGAATGAATGAGTCAATCACATTGTTAAATGAATCAATAAAGTGGCTCATGAAAGAATGAAGTGTCCAAATGTAGAGCACACCCCACTCAGCCAGAGTCTGGGGAAGAGGGAAATGAAATGAGCTGAGGAGGGAAGAAGTGTGTGGATGTGTGCTAAGAATGAAAGGGAAGGAAGAGTTGACCCAGACACTAGATAGCAACCAAATCAGTTGTAAAGTTTATCTCCGGAAGTCAAGGAGATCTGCTCAGCTCTTGGGTACCAGCCACTTCTTGCACTGGGCACTGGCTATGCTGAGGGCAAGACCCAAGACAACCATACGTTACCCCCCCCAAAATTCTTGAGAACCAGTCTGCCCCTGGACTTCCTCTCCCTGGTCGTGCAAACCTATCCTTTCCTAGGTCACCAACTCCCCCTTTCCAGGAGGCCCTCTGGGTTTACCTCATAATGGAGCTAGGAACCTCAAAGGAGGTTCTGCATGAGTATCTCCTCTGTAGCTTAGCTGACAAAAAGTGGCCATCCAACCCTTGGCTTCAGGAGCTCCAGGGAAGGGGACCCACCTTCACTTTCTAAGGCTAGCTAGTCCCTCTTTTGAATAACTCCAACTGTTAGGAAGGCTTTCCTTACATCAAGCCTGAATTTGTCTGCAAGTTCCAGCCACGGCTCCTAGTTGCTTCCTCTGCAGCCAAATAGAACAGGTCTGAGCTCTTTTCTACTCACAGCCTCTCAAACTCTTGAACCCAATCTTGCTGGAGTCTTCCTTCATCTAGGCTAAATGTGGCCAGTTCTTTTAACTCTATGCTCTAATTCAAGGCCTTTCTGTATCATCCTTAAGACTCTCCAGTTTATTGATACCCTTCTAAAATATGGCACCCAAAACCAAACACATAGCTTCAATTTCAGGTTCAGTTGCTTATTTGTACAAGTCATGTCCCCTGATTGGATTCTTGGTTTTCCTATCTGTCAAAGGGAAAATAATCAGCAAGGGAGGTGGAGAAAGTCAAATGAGAGAAAAGGGATGGAAAGATATTTAGGAGAAAATGTTTGAAATAACCAGTCTGTGACTTCAGAAATGAACTTATGCTATTAACTGACAGAGTTGGCTTTTCCTACAAACTTAGGAGAAGGAAGGAGAGAAATAGAGGTGATCTGAACTTCCTCCTGATGACCTGGTCCCTGGTCCTTGGCTCCCTGACTGGGTGTGAAAGGAAGATCATTTCACTGCAAGGATTATAGTCATCCTTCTGGAGAGGAGGAAGAGCATTTCAGTCACCCAGCTAGTAAACTGGAGAATAAGGCTATGAACCTGGTTTCCTGACTCCGGGACCAGCACGGGTTTCTGTATAGCATTACAGAATCTTGGCAGATACCTGGTCAGCAAGGAAGAATTAACCCCACCCTGTCCTCAGAGACACTAATCTAACCCTTGGACAGCAATCAGCCTTTCCCAACACTCATTGAAACTGTAGTATAGGACTAGAAGGTAGAAGTGGGTGGGGTGGGATAGAAGGTTGGGTGGAGGAGACCATAGGAGGCCCCAGCAGGGATCTTCCCTTTCTGACTCTTACAAAACAATCCTAACTAAACCCCTTCCCTTTGGTCCTTGCCCTGTAGGGCAAGAAGGTACACCACCTGACTTCTAGGAACCTACCCAATTATCAGAATGCCACCCAAATTCTAGAACAGTGTCTGGATTCCATAAACCGTCAGCCTGAATTGTACAAGATCCTCACCATTACAGAATATTACAAAGATTCAAGAAAGAGCTGGAGAGCTCTCTCCCCACACTGGAGAGAGAACAGAGGAGAATAAATAACATCATTCTACATTGCTGCCCCTAAGATCTGGGGCGAGGAGAGAAAATTTCAAATGGGTGGAGCAGGGTCTTATCAGCACATCCCCTTAGCATTCAAAGTCAAGGCAGGGAGCCAACCAGAAGGAGGATCACCACCTTCTTACAGTCAGTAGCCACACTATACTCTTAGGTTCCTCTTGGTTCTTTGAACTTTTGCCTCTCCCCCAACCCCAGCAATCTGGCCTCTTGCCAAGCTTCCTGAAACAGGACCCAACTACCCCTCCTCCTTCTCCTCCTCCTCCCACCTCAGTCAAAGGCTGAACGTCCTTCATGACAGTAGGCTAGGAAAGATATCCCTCCTCCCCAAATAGAAGAAATGACAAAAGGAGGTAGTAGGCATCATCACAGCTCCCGTGACTCCCAATGCTCTTTCAACTGGGATGACCTCTCTGAAGTCACCGGATAGTGATTTTCACAACTCTGACTTAGGAGTGTCATCTCTGTCCTAGAATCAGGAAGACTCGTGGGCTGACCACACACACACACTCACATGGAGTCTGCCAGTCACTCCTTCCAAAGCAGAAACACTAAACAGACAGACAGGTGTCAGCTAGCTTGGATCCTAGATTGGCCTGCGAAGTTGAGGCTGGCTTCCTCACATCCCCATCACTCTGGGACTCTCCCGTCGTTAATGCCTTTTGGAGATCTTTCAGTCTTGGAAAAATGTAGAAAACTACTGATGGGGAAGCGGGGGAAAGACAGAAGTGAGGCACACGCTAAGCTGGAAGGAGAGAAGCAAACCCCGGGCAGGGCCACTAGTGAGGGGAGGTGGGGGAGGTGAATGCAGCTACCCATGTGCCCTCCTCCCTAGAAAAGGGGGAATCGGGAAAGACTAGGGGACACTCGGGGAATACAGGGGCGGAGCAAGGGGTGCGGGTCCTTACCGACCAGGTGCCAGGACTTTCGGGGCCCGTAGCTCCCCCAGCAGCCCCCGGAGTGGTCTGCCTCGTAGCCCACGAGGGGCGTGCACACGCCGTCGGCCAGCTGGCCCAGCAGCAACAGGACGCCGGCTCCCCACGAGCTGTAGCCCTGCACCGAGTGCAGGTACAGCAGCAGGTAAGTGAACCACATGGAAGCGCACAGGTCGTTCAGGAAGTGGCCCACGGCATAGCTGAGCCGAGTCACCAGCGGCAGCGCCGGCTCCGCCATGGGCCCGGCCCGCCCGGCCGCCACCTGGCTCGGCCCGCCCGCTCTGCCCACCGCCGTCCGTCCGGGAGTCCCTCAGCAGGGCCGCCCCTTGCCCGGACTGATCACTCTCGCCCGGCCTTGCTTTGGACTGGTCACTCTCCGAACGGGTCTCTCCGGACCGGCCCCACTCCGAACTGGTCACTTCGGGGACTGTCAGTCCACGAATGGACCTCGCGGCTCACACGGCCCCCGTCACTCGCCCCAGGGCGGGACCGGCTGGGCGCTGTGCTCCTTCCCGGGGGCGGGCTGGCTGCCCTGAAGGGGATCCTTGCCTTCCGCGGACACGCGTGGGAGATCCTCGGCTACACCCAGCCTGCCGAGCTCGCCTCCACCCCGGCCCGCACGGAGAAGCCCCTTCTGCGAGCTCGGAGTCGGTGCCGGCTTCCTCGCCGATCCCACCCGCAGCAGCCTGTACCCGGGTCCCAGCGGCTGAACTATGCCGGGCCAGGGGCTCCAGGAGCACAGGGGCATTCCCAACGATTGGCGGGCGCCTTGGCCAATAGGCGCCGGGAGCCGGGACCCGGCCAGCCGCACAGGAGGTTAGGGGGCGGGACCTGAGGTTAGCCCTGCCCCAGTCTCCTCCCCGGTCCCAGCTGGTCCCAGAACCCTGCGTTGCTGCGGTCGCGGTGGGTTGGCTTTGGCTGGCGCTGTAGCTGGAGAGGCCATCCCCCGTCCGGGGCTGTGGAGCGGCGGAAGGAGGAGGGATCCCCACCCCCCCTGCCGTCCTGACTCAGCCACGCCCAGGCTAGCGCCCGGCTGGTTTACTGGGACCGCGCGGTTGGCTGGCGCCTCTCCAGGCTCCCCTACTTTTCCAGGGCCCCGGGCATCAGCGGTGCAGACCGCACTCGGCTTCTCACCGCTCTCTCCACCCTCCCCTTCGTCCCTCTCCCCTTTCCCCTACCTCCCCTCCTTCTCCCGTTCCCCCCTCTCTGTCCTCTCTCTCCCCCTCCCCTCCTCCTCCTTCTAGTCCTTTCTCTCCCCCCTTCCTCCCCTCTCCCTCCTCCCCAGAGGTCGCCCTCTGGAAAGCACAGCTTCTCACGTACTCGAAGGGATGCGTGGACGGACGCCCAAGGACAGGAGGAGACAGGGTCAGCCTCAGAAGACCCTGGAGCAGACAGATCGCCGCTACGAAGAACGTGGAAACGCGCCGAGACACAGAAACAAACAAATGCATTCACTCTACAGCCATGTATTTATTAAACGCTCTCCAACAAGCACTGGCTTTGTGCAACGCACCCCCACCACCCCACGCAGGACACTCACACTATATCTTTGTACTCCTAGCACCAGCAGGACGCGGGGATCCCAGTAGGCGCTTAAATTGTTAACCTAGTGCAGTTGAACCTGGCATCTTTAAACCTCTCCCTCTCTCTTTAGGAATGGTGACTGACCTAGAAAGGAGTGTGGGGCCGAAGCTCCGGGCGAGGGTGGGGACTAGAGATGGGAGATTATTTCTGGGAGGGAAAATAATTAGGAAAAGAAAGGCCAGTTCGATAAGGACCCTGGAAATAAATGAATTACCTCCGTAATCGTGTTGTTTCTGGTCTTACAATCAACCAATCTATAAGCATTTGTTAAGAACTTGATCCCTAACTCAATACCCCTAGCAGAGATTGTATTTTTTAAAACCTGAAACTACGCTGCGCAAATCGAATAGGATCTCCACGTCCCACGTCCACGACCCTGTGCTTACCAAGGGAAAGAGAACCTGAGAGTCAGAAGTCAAAGTCGAATCTCTCAGGGCTGGAAGGAATCTCAGATCATCCAGTCTAACCAGTAATTGATCAAGATTCCATTTTTTACAGTATTCCCAACTTGCTCTGCCCCTATTTGAAGCCCTAAAGTAGGGGAAACACACTGCTTCCTGAACTGAACAACCTCTCAGCCTTAGCAACACTAGCTGCGTTCTGATCCAGCCGCTAGCTGTGTGATCCTGGGCAAGTCACTACACCTCCATCTGTCTCAGTTTCCTCATCTGTAAAACAGGGATGATAATAGCATCTCTCAGGGATATTTTGAGGATCAAATAAGATAATACTTGTATAGCAGGTGCTAAATAAATGCTATATCCTTTGCCCCCTCCCCTTCCATCTTGAATCTTCCTCTCTTCAACTTGCAATGTTGTTAGTCGTTCTTAGTGTTATTTTGTGGGTGCAAATGCAACCTCTTCAATGAGACTGACCTTGGAATACTTGAAGGCAGCTATTATGTTCCTTCTAAGTCTTCTCCAGACTATTCCCCAGTTCCTCAGCTGATGTTCATATGTCTTACATGGCCTTTCACTAGCCTGGTTGGCATCCTCTGGGATTCCAGCTTTTGAATGTCCTTCCTAAAATGCAGTGCCCAGAATTGAACCCTAACGTCCAGATATGAGAGAATACTGCCCTTCTCCCACCTATTTTAGGATCATAGATTCTGAGCTGGAAGAGCCCTTAGGGATCATTTAATCCTACTTTCTCATTTTACAGGCTAGGAAAATGAAGTCCAGAAAAATCATATGACTTGCCCAAGGTAACACAGGCAATGAGTGGCAAGGCTGGGATCCAAATCCAGGACCTCTGACTCCACATCTAGCCTTCATTCTCCTGCTCCAGTCCTGGGCATGATTCCTCTCTTAATGCAACAGAAAATCATAGGAATTTGCTAAAGGTCACTCAGTGAGCAGAGTTAGGACCATGACTCAGCTCTAACCTATTAATAATGAATCAACTGAGGAGCAATATGCTTGTTATGTTTGGGGCATTAAAACTAATGCCCCTGCTTATTATCATAATAATATATGGAAATAATCATTCCTGCTCCTCCTTCTTCCCTCCTAGATGGTGTGGTGAAGATAAGATATGACTGGTCCAGAGACGACTTTGGAAATTAGAAAGGGAGAGAAGCTTGGGTACCATGGAACTGAGGGGGTGAAACTTGACCATGATTGGACCTTAAAATATAGTCAGAGCTAGAAGGAAACTCAGAACATAGGCAACACAATGTCAGAGCTGGGATGTATCTTAGAACGTAAAATGTTGGAGATGGGAGGGGCCACCTAGTAATGAGAAAACTGAGGTGCAAAAAGGGCAAGTGGCCTCCCCCAGGTCAGTGGGAGTGTCAGAAGTGGAAGCTAGGTATTCTGGTCTTCACAGGGACCAGCAGATGTGAGTACAGAGGAAGGAAAAAACTGGAGACATTCAAGATGTCTGATATTCTAAATATCCCTCCCTTTTGGTTCATTCCTTTTCCCCTCTCTGCCTGAGGCTGGCTGGGTAGCTGGGTTCTTTCCTGACACCTGATCTCAGCAGCTTCCCATAGAATATCAAATATCCAACAGACTCTTCCTCCCAATCTTCCCCCGCTACCCTCACCCCTGTCTCCGCCACCCCCCACTCCTCAGATCTCAACCACAACCTCTCTTGATCTTCTGGGCCCCTCAGACCCAAATCCTGCTGGAGTAGGAGCTTGCCCACATCAGATGGAAATTACCTTAGATCTGAGAATTGCTTCAGGGAATAGGTTGGAGCCTGATTATAGGGGTGGGGAGTGTAATAGAGACCCTGATAAAAGCCTGTCTTTTACCCCAATTTCCTGAATTTCAAGAGTTTCATAAAGTCAAATCAAAGGATAGTTGTTGTCCCTGCCTCTCCTGTGCTCAGTGGTCTGCTTCTGTTAGAACCTTTCTTAAGGCAAGGATGCCAAGGTCACTCTCCTGGTGCAAAATGGAGTCATGCTCAAGGGCACACACAGGAATGCATGGTCATACACAAATATACATATGGACACTCCAAGAGAGACACTCTCAGACACTGAGGGAGATACACATGGACTTCTACCACAAGAGCCATTATTTAGAAGACAAATCCCTGCTCTACCTACCCCTTCCTTTTAAGAGTTTTACATATAAACTATATAGTCTGAACTGGAGTGGATAAGATGTTAGAGTTGGAGTCAGGAAGACCTGAGTTCTACTCTGGCCTCAGACACTTATTAGTTGTATGACCACGGGCAAGTCACTGAGTCACTCTCAACCTCAGTTTTATCATCTGTAAAGTGGGGATAATAAAAACACCTATCTCACAGGGTTGTCATGAGAATCAAATGAGATCATGCATGGGAAGCCTTTGTAAACATTAAGAGCTATATAAATGCCAACTGTTTTTATTATCATTATTGTCATCACCTCAGTCTGGAGGTCTCAGTTTCCTCATCTGTAAAATGAGGATGATAATAGCACCTATCTCCTAGGGTTGCTATGAGTATCAAATAAGGTGCTAAGGTCATCACCTTCAGCTGCACCTGAAGGGACATAGAACTGAGAACATTTAAGCTGGAAGAATGACTTAGAACATAGAATCTTCTAAGACCATGTTGTGTTTCCAGGTGTCAGTATTTCAGTATGTCTGTGTGTGTGTCCTTGTCTGTCTCTTCAAGTATCTGTGTGCTGATCCTTGCATATCAGTACATCCCTGTGTATCCTAGATTGTGTGTCCCTAGCATCCTAGTTTTCCACAAGGGTCCAGGCTGGGAGCAGAGCTGGTGAAAGGATTGGATAGAGTACCTGACCTGGAATCAGGATACCTGTGTTCCAACCCTGCCTTGGACATGTAGTAGCTACTCTGGACAAAGCACTTAACTTCTTTGGGCCTCCCTTTCTTCATCCATAAGATCAGAGGGTTGGAATTGATGAGTTCTGTGATCGGCTATTAACCATGGAGAAGTCTCCATGGGAGATATAGGAGAAGAAACCTTGCCCTTGCCAGTTTGGTTGAAAAACAGTTGGAGAGCAAAAGCTGTCCCAAGGCCAGTTGTGGTCTGTGCAGGGTCATTGAGTCAGATTGGGCTAGAGGAGCTGAGCAGGGAGAATTCTGATAGCTAGGTAGTACAGTGGAGAGAGCAACAGGACTGGAGTGAAGAACACCTGAGTTCAAATTTGATCTCAGACACTTACCAATTGTGTGACCCTGGGCAAATCACAAAAACTTTGTCTCAGT